GAATGACGTACCCTGGGTCCGAAAGTCAAGGAGGAGGATAAGGACACCATCCCCTCCGAGGATGGAAACCATGCACGGCCGAGCTACATCAAAATGGCAAAAGTTATTAATGAGAAAGAACAGACAAGCTTAGGAGAGGCTGCAGCAGTTTACTTTTGCCTAAGCCTCCTGGGAAGGGGAAGATTCCATCTTCTCTTCTCTTCTCTTCTCTTCTTTTCTCCTCCCTCCTGAGTTGTTGTTGCGTGCCGTCAAGTCCTTTCCAACTTACGACAAACCGAAGGCGTAAGAGTCAGAAAGGACTTGAAGGGGTTTCTGAGTTCCTGTCGTGGAGGTTTCTGAGGCTGAGAGGGCGTGACTTGCCCAAAGTCACCCAATGGGTTTCCATAGCCAAGCGGAGATTTGAACCCTGGTTTCTAAAGTTGCAGTCCAGTGCTCCAACTACTATGCCACTTTGGCTCCTGTGTGAAAAGTACTTTTGCACTTTGAAGGCCATTTGGAGCAATTCAAGTAAGCTGAGGGGGAAAGTGGGAGGAGGAGAGAGAAACTGGGGCATGGTAAAAGTAGCTGAAAAAGTGGGACGACAAAGGATTAATAGTGACTGTCCCAGCCAAATTCATATAAGATGATAAATTTCACACCTGGAGCCATACATTCTGTATTTATTCTCAGCTGTTTGTACTATTTGTTCCAACTATTATGTGGATGGTTGAGTAGAAAGCCTATGATAAATCCTCCTCAATTCTGTCCTGACAGTGATGCAGCTGCGTAATTTCTTTTTCTGAACAGAATGGCCTTAACACACTTCCCCACCAGTGTTTCGGTGGCTGGAATTCCATCGGAGCCTTCCCTGCTCCATGTAATGCTATAGAACGCTACAGAAGCGGTTGTACATTTTTGTCTGATTCAGAACATTTTGTTCAAGGTTGTGGAAGGGGAGTTGTACATGTGGTGCCTGTACACCTGGATGCAGATTGCACATGGGTACCTATGGCCATTTGTTATCTTCAGTTGGGCAATGTTGCCATTCACCCCAAGGGCTGTGTAGCACAATAAAGGCGGAAAGCTTCAGGCAGAGAATTATGGTATGCAACTCCAGTCAATACAGCAATAGCAATTGCAATAGTAACTACATTTCTATGCCATTTATCAGTGCACTTAAGCACTCCCTAAGCATTTTACAATGTGTAAGCCAATTGCCCAAAACAAGCTGGGTACTCATTTTAGCAGCCTATGGAAGGATGCCAGGCTGAGTCGAACCTGAGCCCCTGGCTGGTATTGAACTCACAATCTTGTGGTTTGTGAGTAGGTGGCTGCAGAACAGGCATTTAACCACTGTGCCACCAGGGCTTTTCCAATATGTATTACAGTCGCCCCTCTGTTTTTGCAGGCTTGGAATCTGCATCCCTCACCCGTTCATGGGTGACAAACAGAAGGGGACAAAATGATGCACGCCTCCATGGCATGCACCGCCATTCAAGCCAATGGGGCTTGAATATTGGCGATTTTCCATATTCATAGGGAGTGGTTCCGGAATGGATCCCCCATGAAAATGGAGGAGCGTCTGTACATGTATATCTCAGTTGACACCATACTGTATATACTCATGTATAAGTCTAGAATTTTTAGTTAAAAAATTGACACCAAAAACCTGATTGACTTATCCATGGGTCAATGAAAATCCTGTACTTGAACTCTTATAAAAAAAATGGGAACCATCCCCTGGTAAAAAGCAAGAGCATAATCTCTCGTGGAAGCACAAACAGCAGGCATAACTGTTTGTGCTCATCCAGTGTGACC